GACACCTTGCACACACCCTTTCCCTTGAAAGCCAAGCTCTCGCATTCCAGTTCGAGAATTTGTCCTCTCTTTGGAAAGTAAGATTCTGTCTTGTTATCGTTAGTTTTAGTGCCATCGTTATTGTTGTTTCTCTTTTTATTGCTGTTCTGTCCTAGACTGAGGTTGGAAGCTTGGGCCTTTTGTGGGTGTTGACTAAAGGAGGCAAGAGAGGAAGAAAAGTGTACATTCCGGAGCCATGGATGAGTTGTAGTCAGAAGCCGGAAGCCATGGCTCGGGATGGCGGCCATCGGCGATACGAGCGTCGGTACCGGGATATGAAGATGGAGGGAAAGGGCGAGGAAAAGAGGAAAAAGATGGGGTTCGGAGCAGGGGATGGAGGGTAATTTGGGTACTCTGCTAATCTGCAGAGGGTAGCTTCGACATTTTCTTCTCGGGTCAACCTCTCTTTACGGGTCCGGTATCGTCGAATACCCGCTGTCATCCCCGATGAAAACTTAAACCCTAAACCCAAAATCACTCCCTCCGTTCAGCTCACGACGCAGATCCTACGCTCTACTTTCTCTGTCGTTCTCAACAAAAAAGACGATCAGAAATGGGTAACCCTAACCTCCAAATTTTTCGCTAAATTACATGTTTGATATTGATTATGATTGGTCTGTAACCGTGACACTACGCAGGTAAGGTGCACGGCTCACTGGCTCGTGCAGGGAAGGTGAGAGGCCAAACCCCGAAGGTGGCTAAGCAAGACAAGAAGAAGAAGCCCAGAGGTCGCGCCCATAAGCGTATGCAGTACAACCGCCGTTTTGTCACCGCCGGTGAGCTTATTGCTTTGTTTTGCTTTATCTTCGCTGTTTTGATTTGTGTTTTTAACTGATCATTAGCTGTGTTGACGGAATATGCATAACTAGAATATTCTATTTTGGGGTTCTTTTATTGGAGCTGAAGATGGAAGCATTTTGTTTATGAGGATTTTGACTTTCTGTCCGTTTTCGGGAAAATGGGATTGGAGGTGTGGAGAGTGATGCTGCTAAATGACACAAGTAGAAACAGATGGAATGATGTTTATTGAAAGTGAGAAAATTGTTTGGTTTGGTGGTATGGCTATTATGTGGTTATTGCTTAGAAGTGAGGTAAATGGAGGGAGAGAATGTCAATGTAGGAATTAAGTGGGAATAAAGTTGGTTGTTTCCTGCTAATAAGTGGCAGTCTGGTGGGGAGTAGCTACTACCACTTCCCTTAGATTTTAGTTATTTCAATCTTATTTCCACTCATTAGAAGAAATAGACTCCAACATGGAGTGGTTACTCATACTCTGTTATACTGTCATCTTTTGACTTTATTTTCATGCAAATACCATGAAATAGCTATTCAATTGAACCAAATGTGACCTTGGAGAAACTTATAGTTTGTTTCTTGGTAAATAGTGGTGAATGAAAGTGAAAGTAGAAGATTCAATTTCATCGTGAGAATATTGTTTTTGGTATTTCTGTCAGAAATAAATGCCTGAGAAATGTCATATTCAGGATCAAATTTTCTTATCAGTATTGGTTTTGGTAATTTGATAATAATAACTCTTTTTTTGTCTGAAATTTTTGGACACTATCAATTGCTCTCAGCATGTTGTGCATGACTTTTTCTGTTTCTTCTACTCATTCTCTTCTTTCCTTGCTTTCATTCATAGTTTAGTTTTTGGAATTTAAAGTGTGTGTGAACTTTCTCTTTCTGATCTTGCAACTTTCGGTAAATCTTACACCGTGATAAGTTGATGAGTGCATCTGTTTTCCTGTTTGCAGTTGTTGGCTTTGGGAAGAAGCGTGGACCTAACTCTTCGGAGAAGTGAGCCTTCACTTACTCCTTGGAGGCAGCGGTTTTGGATCTTAAGTTTGACAGATACCATCAAAAGATTTATGTAGCTGCCATAACATTAGTTGTAGCTAGTTTGTTCTGTTTGGGGTTTCTTGCCTGTTGAATATGAAAACTAAATTACTAACACAAGTAGAGTTCAGTTTGTTATATAAATTGTCTTAATTTCTCTTTTTGCATTTTCCCTGTTGCTACCTTCTATTCTTCAAGGCTTGATCATTCCCTCCCGGCAAGGTTCTCTTTGAAGGTAGTAACTGATTTTTGAAAATTGTGTTGGAATATTAAAGCTAATAAATTTCAATGGAATAATGCTTCTCATGTTGTTACAGTCTTTAACACTTTCTGCCCCCATATATGCCGGTGTTTTGACACTTATCTTTCTCAAGGCTGGACCATGTTCCTCCCATAGCCATGTGTGGACCGTGGATGTTTGACAACCTCAAAAATTGAATGCTCAAGGAAGAACATTCTTGTCGTTAGCCACCATCTTTATTCTTTTGATATGGGAATGATTTTTCCTTTGTATCTAGAGTTTTGGTTCATTTCAACAATTTAATGCATTCTTAAACTCCCAAATTGTGACAAACTTAGGCAGTAATGCTATGATCCGAGATGCCATGGATGGAATCACTGCAAAGCCGGCTAGACGGCAGTTGTGGCAATGAATACTGATATAACATTGTTGAATGCTCCACTGCGTTGTTCCTTTTCATTTATCGTTTACCAACAACATTGTTCATTAATAACATTCCTTAACCATTCCTTCCATGGCATGGTGCAAATGATTAAGGAATGTTAACTTAACATTATTAGTTAATAACATTGTTCATTAATAACATTCCTTAAACATTCCTTAATACTCACTAGTTTCCCGATAAGTAAAGGTGCAAATAAGGATATCAACTTTGCATTTTTTTCTATTTAAAAATGTTAACTTTGTCAATTTCTAAATAAGAATGTCAACTTTTAATTTTTTCTAAATAAAAATATCAACTTTTAACTTTTTTTATTTAATGATTAATTGGGTGGTAATGCTGACGTGGCTAACATACTTTTTTAGGCTAAATACTTGAATTGGTCCCTCAACTTTTATTTTTGAACCAATTCATCCTTGAACTTTAGAAAGTATTGAAACGTCCTTCAACTTCAATTTTCAACACCAATTTCACCTTTTCGTCAGTTAAGTGCTGATGTAACTAATTTTTCCGCTAAGTGATTGACTATTTTACATTTTCAATATTAGGTGGAAAAACCATCATGCAAAAGATGATTATGTAGATTTTTTTTTAATTTTAAATAATTTAAAAACTACTTTAATTCTTAATTTTACTTTATTTATATTTAAAAATTAAAACA